GAGGGAGGGAGGGAGGGAGGGAGGGAGGGAGGGAGGCTGCGGTGGGATGACATCTTCTTGCGCTGACCCCATTTTGCATCTTTCATGTCTCTTTTAGAATATTCTAACACTTTCAGAATTCTTGCATTATAATCTACCTCAAATAAAAGATAGTTAAGAAACTGAATTATTTAAGAAAGCTAATAGAGAAGAAGCACAAATTTTATTAGCAATGAGAATCAATAATTAGCTACTTAAAAATTAATAAACTAAAATTAGTGTCAAAAATTGAGGTTTTGTGTGGAAAGGTGGTCGTTTTTTAAAGAGAGGCCGGCCCCTCTCTCCCCGAAGGCTCTGCGCTATCAGGGTCCTGTATTTTTGGGGTCCAACCTTGCTATGGAAGCCGAGGGTGGTGGCTCCCTCAGTGGCACACCTGGCTGGGTCTGGGCTCAGAAGCTAAGCTGGGCCGGGTCAGGCTGGCACCTCAAGGGGACCCTGCCCCCCCCCCCCCAGAGCTGGAAGGGGAGGTGAGAAAGCCTCCTGGGAGGAGGCCATCATGCGCCACTTCCGCCATGGGCCTAGAAACTGGAGGGAAGGAAATGTTGCTTTTATTTTCCTTGCACTGAGGTTAAGCAACCGTTACCCATGCTGTGGTGATACAGGTGGCCCTGTCAGACGCCCCCCGTTCAGAAGGCTGAATGCAGAAACGCTCTTGGTTTACACACAAACAGTCTCTGTGTGTGTGGAAAGACTGTGAGCAATTGCGCCACAGTCAAGCGCAGCTTCCTGGGTCACAGAGTTTTCTCGGCAACAAAACCAAGAGGGTTTGCCATTCCTTCTCCAACATTTTATCATCTAGAATCCATCCCTGGGAATCCCTGGCGTCCCCCTTTCAAGCACTAGCCAGATCCCTCCCTGCTTAGCCCTTTGGGGATGAGCCAGGGAGATCCAGGTTCATCTACAGGAAAACTATTCGGCTTTCGGCCGAGGGAGCAGGGGGGGCTCGAGCACGGATAGGGCAATCCACCGAGACCCCCCTCGGCACCTATACAATTCCTTGGGCAGAAATCCTTTGGGGGCCAGGAAAGCGTTCTAATATATTATAACCTACTTACCTATATTAGAAGTATTCCTACACTGTATTTCATCAAAACAAAATTCATTTCAGTAGAGTAAAAAGAACAAAATTGCAGACAAACAAGATGAAAGCAAACAATTAGAGAATGCCAGAGAGACCTTAACCCTTCCAATACCACCTTTTGTAATTCCCCTCCGGCAAAGGGCACTCGGTCCCCAATTCATGGAGCTCATCAAGGAAAACACTGCAGTCTGCGTTATTAAAATCAGCCAAGAGACCAAGCAATGGCTGTAAAAATGGTAGCGCTTAATCATGGAGAAGGTGACCAACTTGGACTTCAAAGTATTTTTCAAATATATTTCTGCACGTCTCCTCCATGGTTTATGAAAGCACGGTTAGCAAAGTAATTATCCTACTAGCCCTCAGAAGTATTCAAAAGGGCTCCACTGGATACCTAGAGTGGCAATAACCTATGTGACTATTGTCCAGGGGTGGGTTGCTAACTGGTTTACTACCAGTTTGCTTGAGCATGTGCGCTCGCAACGCTTCTACACATGCGCAGGAGCGTCCGGGCGGACCCTCCCGCTGCCGCCACCACTCCCGGCTCGTCCGAACTGGGAGCAGCCCGCCTCTGCTATTCTCATCGTTAAGCAACAGCCAAGACTCCATAGTCCAACGCCTGTGTGTATGTGTATCTGCCGGATGGAACATCTGTAAGGAGCCTCCTGGCACTGATACCTCAGCCATGCTCTGCCTTTTCCCTCTCTGCACGTGCAGCGTTTAAATCTCTTCTAGAAGCCATCTTGAAAGGAAGGTAGCAATAAAGGAGAATATTTGGAGCTCAGGGTTGAAATGAAGAGTCCTTGGTGCTCTCTGAGATGGCTGGTTTTCTTGCAGACGTTTCATTACTCTTAACTAGCAGGAGCTCAGAGAGCACCGAGGAGGCCTCAGAGTAAGGTAGGTTTGTTTAAAATAAAATATATTTGCACAGATATTACAAAAACATTTATAAATTATTATAATTTATAATTTGTTCTTCTTCTAAAATGTATATTTAAATTTTTACATTATTTGTATGAGTAAACATATGTATAAATATCAACTTGAATGGGATAGATGGAGCATTAAAGTATTTGTCAGCCTCTGTTTCGCTATTTGCCATTTTCGGCTGCCATTGAAACGGGGGTGAGGGGGGGGCTGGTATTTGGGAAAGGAAGTTTTAAGTACAGGAGGGATTGTGAAAAGGGCGTTTTGTTCTCACCATCACCTGCGCATGCTGGAGATAGTGACCGAGGTGGCCAAGGCCAGCTGTCCTGCACACCAACCTGATGATGCTTTTTGAAGATGGAACTCACGTGACACCTGAGGGATTTGCAGGTTGGACTGTGGGGTGGGGGTCACCAGGGGAAGGGGGTTGGTTCGCATATTGACATGTGTGATTTCGCGCGCTTTTGCCTCAGATCTTCCTTTGCTTAGCTGCCATCTTTTCATAACCAGTAAAAGTACTCTTAATTCTGCAAAATGGAGTTAAGTGGTTTCTTTCTTGAGGGAGGCTGGCTTGACAATATTATTCACTTAAGAGTTTGAAGCAAAGCAAACCTCCCTAATAGCAAAGTTTTTAATAACTTCACCATGAATATATATATATCCTTTTATCAGCCCTAGTAGAAACAGAGACACCTTCCCCTCGTTCCTTCAACCCTTCAGCAATGGCACTGGGTCAAAAGTAATTTTTTTCTAGCTACGAAAGCAGGGGAAGCTCAGAGGCAGCAGGCGAAATAAAAAGGCCCCTCATCCCGTGCGCCTGTCCCGTGTAATGGGCCGATAAAGCAACGGATAGAGGAGTTTCCTTCTTCTTCTTCCATCCTTCTTTCGAAATGGGCAGCGTCAACGGAAGTGCTGACCAAACCCTCTCCAGCTGCCCAACGTGGGCAGGCAGGGCCAGCAGCTGAGCTGCTCGTCTGCCTGCAGGAGCCACGGGGACGGCCCGTCAGAGGATCTGCTTCACCATGGCAACGAACAATGGCACCACAACAGTCACTAAGCGGCACCATCACGTGACCGTGCACTTTAAGACCGCGTCACTTAGCCCCAGACACGGCAGGCCCAGCTGCTGTCATTAAGCAAGGACTTCTTGCGCATAGTTAAGCTTAATTTCAGCCACTTTATAGAACTAGAAGTTATTTTTCACATTTGAAGAGCATAGAAACTAAGAAAATAAGCACTGTTGTCCCAACACCATCAATGTAACATTTCCTAAGGTGCTTCCAACATGAAACAGAGACTAAACACAAGGCACATTCTGATAATGGATTAGGTTTTAACAGCTGAATAAAAGATAAAATGAGGCACGTGAAAAGATGAGAGAGAAACCCAAGGAATGGAATTTTAAAAGATGCTGTCTGGGGACCGAAACCTGAGACTCCTAACCGTTTTCTTTGTATCCCATTCCAAGGATGACTTCCGGTGCTCGGTAGTAGCGCGTCACGACATAAGGGGTCATCATGAAGCTGGTCCCGGCTGTTCTGGCCAGCCCAAAATCTAGAATCTTCAGCGTGCAGTCAGCTTTCACCACAATATTGCTAGGTTTTAAATCCTTTGAAGAGATAATAAGATGTGAAATAGAAGATCTCCTTCAAGAAATATCAAAAGCAGAGTACAAAAAAAAAATCAGCTCAACAACTACAACCGCATTTGGCAGCATCTCTGTGAAAATCGCACAAAATGTACTCTTCTTTAATAACTTGTGCAAGTTATTACATATGTTTCAACACTTGGAGGGAAAATACACAGCTCTGAAATTTGCATGAAGGGCATCGGCCCTTCCAGGACGAGATATAACACCTTTTGCATTTTTCATTTAATAAGGAACAGGGATTAGTCATGGAACCGCTTCCAAAGCGATTCTACGCAGTAGTCCTTTCCTACTCTCCAGGAAATAAATTCAACACGTTTGCGCTAACTGATGGAAGTTATGCAAAAAAGTAAAGTCTTTTCCTTCTGTGGAGGAGTTCAAGTCCTGGGTTAGCCTTCCCAGATAAACCAGACAGAAAACAGGATGAGACGAACTCATTCTACTTTATTCTAAGGGGACCCTAACAGAATCTTGCCAGCCTGAAAGTTCAGCCTTCCTGCCATCATCTCCAGTTGGCTTGATCCATCTGGGTGGGCCCTTCCTCAGCTTCTTCCTTTGACCGTTAACCCACCGGAGCCTCCTGCAAATCCTATCAATGTCGACTGGCGACTACGCGGAGGAGAGCCTTTTCAGTAGCAGCTCCGACCCTGTGGAACGACCTCCCC